AGAATGGATATTTATTTACAAATCAAATGATGTTGACAAAAAAAACATGAATTATCTTGTGTTCATACTGTCTGCAATGAAATAAAAGTTAAGGGAAATTTGTAAATTACTGCTTTATTTTTTTATTCACATTTTCCACATTGTCCCAACTTTTTCTGATTTGGGGTCGTATTATTGTATGATTTCTATAAGGTGCTTTGGATATAAGTGTCTGCTAACCAAACATAAGCTTGTGTTTATGTTAAGTTTATTTACTGGCATATTAAAAGCAAATCTGAAACACTCAAACTCATGAACTGGAATATAGCAACATAAGACCAGAACATTTAACCTGAACAGTAATATAGTGTAAGGATGCTTCTTAAAGAAAAAAAATATTAAAAGATAATTACCAAACCATAAACAAACTGACATTGCAAACAAGGTGGAAGCGACCTGCACTAGCAGCCCACTTGGTTCGAAGGCACCGGTCCTGAAGCTTGGTTATTCAGGCTAAGACCAGCTGTAACTGAACTGCTGGTAGCAAGCTGTGCTTTGGTAACCATAAATTGTTGCATGTTGTTTGTGGTTGTGTATGACTAATCAAAGTGAATTATAGCATGTAATCTATCTAAATAGGTAACTTTATTCATACTGAGCGCTGACAGGGTTGCCAACTTGCACTCTCTCTGTCAGGATCTCATGCAAGTCTTATGGCAAATCTATATTATTCCACTATGAACCTAAAATTAGCTGCGTCAAAAGCTTTGGGGTAGTTTGCAAACCCTACAGACTATTATTTATTTTTATTTGTTAAGGAAATAAAACTGTTACATAAATGTATGCTTGTGCATGTGTGTGGACTTGTTTTGAATGGAAAATCTCACTCCATCCAGCTGACCACAGTTGGCAACCCTGCGCTGATATCGAGGTTATCAAACTGTCATGTTAAATACAGCGATCCAAGCCCTATACGGAACTACGATAGTAGCGAACAATATAAATGACTTGTTTTCCGTGTAGTTACATACCTATGAATAAGTTTAAGTTATAAATTACATTGAGACTGCGGTTACCAAATCAGCGGATACTGGGGTTGCACTATTCTGTTCTAGTGAGCTTCCTAACCAACAGTACTGTTAGCTATAGCTAGCTCATTATCTAAGAGTTAACTAAAATACTACTAGCAAAGATAATTATTCAACACATTACAGCAAACTACAGCAAAAAGGAGCTTTAACAAGAATAAGGCAACATTCCTCCTCCACTTTTTCAGGAGACTACAAATTAGGTATGTTACAAAAAAATGAGACAGTAAAATTAAGACCTGCAAATGTTTTCATCAGGGAGAGTGTAAAGAAACATAAATTTTGGTACCAAAACCACCCCTCTATGTTCAGTATTAGGCCACTTAAAATTAATAAATTGTTTTACATGGCCGCCCGCCTCAATTTTTTGGTGCCGCCTCGATTTTTTTTATATTTTATATTTTTCAAAAAATCCGGTTTTTTTTCACCTCAAAAACTGTGGGTGAAAAATCTTGAATGTCAGCCTCGGATTTTTCAATTTGACGCTTCTCGGACAATGGTTTTTATCGTTTGTCAGATTGTGTGTGGGCCCAC